TAGACATCTATAACCTTTTTTCTAAAGGTCTCAGAGAGTTCTTTCGATCTAGGCATAGCGATACCACACACTTCAGCAACAAAGAGCAAATCAAACTAAATGTCTGAGGTTTCAATAAGACAGGTTCCTCCTGAATCCTCTCTAACAATGTTCTAATCATTTACAACTGGTCTGGTGCACCTGGTCTAACTTTATGTATCTGAGGTACTGATAAATGTAGGGATGTACTTACTTTTTCCACATGAGAAATTGCATTTATATTTAAAGTACACAATGGATTACAAAATGCAAATGGTGCATGACATTTGTTATATTATATCCCCTTTAACTATCAATACTGTTGAAATTAAGATCAAATATCTGTATATTGAAATATTTGAAATAATTGAAAATTTCAGTGGGGACAGTAGTCTTAGATATAACTTATGCTTCCCTCACACAGGAAAAGAACAATGACTAGAGTAATTTAGGAGGAGCAGAGAAAAATACAGAAATGAAAGAGGAAGAGAAATGAAAACCTCAGTAAGCTAAAGGTAACTGGTCAGGACATATTCACAGATGGACATACTAAAATCTGGACTTTGAAAACATACAGCAAGAAAGACTACATGCACATATTTTCTCACAGAAAACTGGAAACAATAGTATCTGGAGAAATGTTAATACAGGCCAGTACACAATATTCACATATTTTATACACATCCACAAACACGCACATTCACCCTCACATACATGCAGAAACGCTCCCATAATACATGTGTAACACCAAAATTAGAGGTTGCCTTGCTTTGTTCCACAAACTACAGTTATAGTAAAAGTATTTTATTAAAAATACTTAGTGGACAAAGACAGTAGGACATCAAATACAGTGGGAAACAGAGTGAACTACATATAGTATTGTCCAATCTGGATCACATGACCAGGAGATGGTTGTGCTTAAAATAGAACAGAGAGCAACATTTCAACTGCCTCTCCCACAGGGATGCACTGGGGAATTTTTTTCTGGAATATTTTCTCCCAAAATCCACAATCAGATCAAGCCCATTTTCAAATTCAATCTTTCTTTTGCCAGTTTCTCCCATCATACCAAATTTGGTCCCTTTCTGTTCAGTTATCAGAGAATTACCCTGGTGGCAGATGGACAAATAGAATCCCAAGCCCTTCTATATAATTTATTTCCAGCTTTCTATTGGTTGAAAAGGATAAAAAGCAAACAGAATCTTGAAATCAAGAAGAGATCAAATTTCAGTTTTACCATCCTCATACAATGTATTCAACCTAAAAATGTAGGTTCACAATTAAAAGGAAATAAATTAGTGGTCCCTTTCTTTCAGTCGTAACATCTATCCCAATATAGCAATTCCAAGGACTGAAAATTTTACTGCTGATAGTGTTTAATTGTGGATCAGAACAATAAATTATATTTATCTAACAGAAGAATGTTTATCAAGCCTGCTGAACACAGTGTAGTTTCAATTCTAGCCATATTTTGCCATTTCTCAGCATAAACGATTTAGTCATTGCAACAGCAGTGGGTCCCTGGATTATAGTCGAGGTATCAAATGATGACATAATAACAGAATATATAATGTGATTATGTTTCAAAGAGAGATATGCTAGCATCTTTTTTCTTTTAAAAAAGCAACCACTTATATTACTGAAAGCCAACATTTAATCACTTCTAAGTTAACCATTTTTACCAGTCCCTCTATATGCTTCCTTGTACTGCTAAATGGTGTCAAGTATGATAACAGTGGGTTAATTGTGCACTCCAGTGCCATGGACATCAGCATTCTCATACTTTAAGTGATTTGATCTAAGCTTCCAGCATGCAAACAACAGAACTCCAAGGACATTACTGAGTGACAATTACAACTCTGAAATGTCCTACCAAAAAAGAGGAACAATCTTTGAGAAAAAATATTTCCTAATCATAAGTGGCAGACTTGCATTTACTGAACCAGAACTAGGTGACGTGAAAATAGGAACTCCCTACATCTGAATCATAGCAGTCATCTGTCCATTCACTCCAAACATAAACAAAAAAGTAATACATTCATATAGCTCCAAACTTCTCTCATTTATAGCTACTACTAAATGCTGCAGTGTCCAGTGACCATTAGAGCAGACATATTGCAATAGTCAAAGCCATAGTGTTAGAATGAGAACCCCATCAAAATATGGCATGATCCTAAAGTTATTCTAGCAAAACAGTATATGGCATCTCCAATCTTTCCAATAGTTTTCCTGATCTTTTCTTCATTATACATTTTTTTTTAAAAAAAGAGCATTCACATGATATTAAAAATACATTGTTCTCAAATTTATCAGCATCCCTATTGTCTGATGTAACTCTGGAATACTAAACCACAGTAAAATGAGGATATGGTAGCGCTTTTTTTTTTTTTTTGGTGACAGAGAATGCTAATATAGGATGTTCCCCATTTTGTCCTTTGGAGAAGTTGGAATCAGCATAATTCTTATTTGCTTACTGTTGAATAAGCAATTTATATGATTCACGCAAGATAAGAATTCACAAATATTTTGTGGTTCTTTAGTAATGACATTTACTCTGGCAACCTGATGAGGAAATAAATCAAAATGAATAACAATAAAACAGTGATCCAAAAGGCAATTCCAAGTGAAAAAAAGTATAAAATAAGAAGTACTGGTCTAAAAGCTTATAACTGGTTCCCTACACTAGATACGCCAATATACTGGGATAGATTCTCCTGAAATAAAGTCAAACTGTACAAAATTATTGTGAAACAAATGTCAGCTCCTCTAAATTCTTGTCAATGATTTGGAAATTCAAAAGGACATTGTGCAGCACATATCCAAAATTAGTATTTTTCCACAAACTGTCTATGTATTAAAAGCAGCAAAATGAGGAGAGGTATAGTTTCCTGATTTAAAGATCTAGTTTTCCACCAGGGAATAACTTCACCAGGATCCTTCTGTTTATTTCCCAGCACTGTACTTTTAGGAAGAAAATATATATAAATAAAAAAAATAGTCACTTCATTTTATGACTGTATTTGCAGCAAAAAAGAGTTTTGCATGATCAGTGAGGGACTACTATTGTCACCAATTTTTCAAAAAAGAACACATTCCCAATGTGAGTTAAATTTCCTTATTTCTCCCTTTCTGGTTTCCAGTAAAGGCACCATCCTCCCTGTTAATATAAAATTAATCAAATTTCTTAAGACTGAATATTAGGAAAATATAAATAGAATTGCAGCCTTAGCAAAATAGCATGTTATAATTTATTTAATATTCTGTAAGCATTTTTGCAATCTGTAAGTTGTTAAGTATACTCTTCTTCAAAATCTCAAAAACAAATCTTATCAAATTACATCATTCCAGTTCACCATGAGACGGCAGCATTGAATCCTAATACTATGCCACAAGGATGGAGTAGAAAAAGATTGCAAAATGAGACATCTGCAACAGCTAAATGAACCTGGTCATAAATAAAAACCTCTGTTTTCAAAAATCAAATTTTGGATGTTGTAGCAAGGGGGGCACAGCTATCATATACATCATATACCCCTAACCCAGAGACAGGACATTCCTATCTAGGATGGTCATCCTCTTCCCCCAAGCAGGCAGCATTGGAAGGAATGCATATGGAGCAGTGAGGGAAGAGGGGACAGGCACCTGGTCAGCCAGATCAGACAAATCAGTCTTACATCCATTACTGAAAGTATCAATGCTTAAATTTAGCACTGCTTTTATATATACGTACAGAGAAGTTATAATTATTTCCCACCAGATTAAAATATTAATAGGATTTTACATTGTGGATGATAATTCAGCAATCATCAGTGGTCACATGACACATTTTATGCTCTGGTACAAACTTAAATAGTCCAACATGAAACAGTCTGTGGAAGTCATTTCTATGATAAATTGCAATTATGTTTTAATTAAAAATCAGTTTGCTAAATTATTAATAGTACAAATAATATCATGGCTTCTCCAGCTTTATAGTTCTCCAGATCCAAACACAAGTTCCACTAAAGAATTAAGAAATGTTGATCAATAGAACAAAACAATCATAAGTGTCAGTATTGTAAAGAGGACTGTAAACAATTTACAATGGCAATATTTAACACAAAAGTGTATTATAATAACAAATTTTGAAATACTATTACTTGCATTCTGGATATTAATGCTGAAAATTGATTTATTATAGTTCCACACATAATTAAAACCTTTAAAATAAATGCAAAAAGTTGAGACATGGTATTTTGAGATTTTTAATATAAGTAATTCACTATCTTCAATCAGTGATTAAATACCTAGCTAATAATTTAACCTATGAAGTCTTGCAAAAAAGAGAACCAGAAGCAATTTGCTATAAGAAACACACCTCAACAGTCTGAAATAAAGCCAAGACTAAGCAAGTTTAGGTAGAATGCATTATAAGCCACAGATCTACGGAATAAACACTTTGATTGCACCAAGTTAGGTAATGCCTGCATACCAAGTTCATTGTGCAAACTGCTGCTGCCGACAGCAGATGCATTGTCATGTGTTGCTTCTAACTGGACACTCCCATTTCTCACCAGCAAGGAGGTGCTAGCGTTGAGCACTGCTGCCTGGGAATGGGGGCGTGACTGGACTCTGACTTTGGCTGTGGACTGCTGCCCTTGCTGAACATCTTGAAGGCTACGAAAGAACATGGATGGTGGAGACATTACAGGGAAGAACACAGAAACAGCAGCTAGAAACCAAGTTAACACTTTGTTTTGTATCAAGGTTAAAAGAGAACTGCAATACATTGAACTAGCCAACCTAGATGAAGAACATTGTTACAACATATCCTGGAAGTTAAACAAACAAAAGTTAAAATCTGCTGGATAACCATTCCAAGCAGTTCCTAGACTAACTTGGAGTTATTACTTCAGAATGTTTTCTGCTTCACATAGTTCTCTTCTAAGCAATATTTGAAGGTGCACAATTATATCATGATATCAAAATGCAATGTAGTATCATGGTAACTTTTTAAAATGTAAGCTTTGCTTTTTTGCTAACAAACAGCAAATTTTACTCTTTCATGCAAGTTTAAAGTAAACTTTGAAAAGACTGTAAGGAGTAAATCAGTTGCTTTGCTTAACTCATATAGTTTTAAAATAACAATCTACACCTGTTGCATAAATATGCAATTTATTTTATTTATTTCATTTTATTACCTATTTATAGCGAAGAAAACAAATTATTAGTACATGTCCAGTTTCCCTTTTTTCTATGTCCCCCTCAAATATGCTCTGTTTAAAGGGCTGTCCAGGGCAGATTCAGTGGTGCACATAGTGGTGAAGATGAGAATAAGGAAAATTGCTGTTGTACAAGTGAATATCCATGTACTACATAAAGCCCAGAGTTTTCCTGAACACTGAACAAAATTGTGATATTGAAAAATTACATGCACTGTGAAATGAGCCTATTCTGAATGCAGAAATTTGATACCCAACATATATGTATTATTTTCATATATATATGTGAAACACACACACACACAATCTCTCTCTCTCTCTCTCTCTCTCTCTCTCTATATATATATAGAATCCTATAGATTCTATAGATCCAAGCCTAATTTCAATTCTGACTTAGTCATAGTTATGTAGCCTTAATTATTTAACTTTAGTTGGTTTTATTGTTTACAGCATAAGCAATAACAATCTACCTTACAGGTAACTGCAGGAATCACACACAATAAGATTATGTACAATCTTGGAAGTCATGATTATGACTGCAGTA